CCTGCCCGCCAGAGAGGTATATGGTCAACCCTGTCGCTGCGGGCGGGGCTGGCGGCGGGAGGAACGATCCCGACAGGGAGAGTATCTCGAACCGCCCCCTTAACGTGACGACCGCCCCGGGCGGGGACCCTGGCTGGCGGAGCGTCACGTTGTTGACGTTCCCGGTGCCGCTCATAATGCACACCCCGCGCTGGCGGCGGCGAGCGAACGACGCGACGCTCTCCATGACGTCGCACCCGTCCGCCACCTCCATCACGTGGGTCCGCAGGGCGTTCGCGCTGTCCCGCGTGATGATCACCGGCGGCTTCGGCTTGTTCTTCGACCCCGCCGGCCGCCCCCGCGCCCGTCTCCGGACCTCCGCCAAGTCACGGCCGCCGCTCGCCGTGCTGATACTCAGCATCCCCTCCCCCGCGGCGGCGGCGGCGTTGTCGTTGCTGCTCCCTTCGTCGCCGCCGTCCCGCCGGTGCGTGCCGATGTCACCTTCATCTTCTTCTGAGTGGAAGTGGTGGAGGTTGAAATCTCTTGTGTGGAAGTGAGATGGATCCATTTCTTTTATTAGCTTGCTTCAATTTTCAACAAATACAAACACATGCATATTATTGCAAGCTTAAGATTGGTATAAAAGGAGGACAAAAAAAACATGAACAATATGTATATAGAAAGAGGAAAGTGATATGATCTTACTATGTTTCAAGGTAGCTTAGAAGTAAATAAAATGGTGGCACCCACAAGAATTTGTTCTTGATGAGCTACCATTATTATTTTAGCTAGCTTGGGGGCTATGGTGGTTTTTGATGGGTTGGGAGGAGAATTAGGGTTAGAAGAAGAAGAAGAAGAGAAAAGGGGAAAGAGATAGAGAAGGAGGGGATGAGAGATGGGGTTTGTTTGTTTTTTTGGGGGGGTTATATTAATTGGACTTCTGCAAGTCTCAGTGGGTCTTGGGCGGTGGATGGGGTCCGTCCGGCCTCCTCCACTCTCTTTCTTCAAAAAATATATTTTCACCTCATTTCTTTTTATGACAAGAATTGTTTTAGTAGGATACGCTCCATCTTCGAGGGCTCTTTTAGATCCGATTGGATGGTCACTAAGAGATCCAAGAATGGTTAATGAGTGTTAGTGTCGTCTCCCGACTGGCTACCTCACTGAACCGTGAAGTCGTGCGAAGTGCTTAGGAATCGCAGTAGAGAAGGAGAAGAAAGTGAGAGAGGTAGGAGGAAGAATCGGAAAGATCAGCATGGGAAAGTCAAAATTTCCCATTGCTGCTGAACGGGAGGGACGGTGCTTCCGGTTGGTGCCGACACCAACTAGGATCCCGATGCCCTCCCCGATCCCCAAATAACTTATTTGGGGTCTTACCCATAGTCCCCCAAAACAATATGAGAAATGCTAGAGTTACAAACTCTTTGATCACATAATACACAACCTTGCTATTTGTGTATTTATATGTTTACTTTTTATTTATTTAACATTATTTAATTCACTTCGTGAGGTACACAAATGGCAAGATTGTGTATTTTGTGATCAAAGTGTTTGTGACTTTTTGTTCGTGCCACTAGATATTTTGATATACTTTTTAAATATGTAAATTTTATCTATAAATTAAATTTCAACCCAATTTTTAAATAAATATGCTTGATGGGATTTTTTCCAACCAACCATGATGGCACGAAGAACTTGCACGTAAATAAGAATAGTACAAATCGAATATATATGACTCCCGTATACTTGTATTATCTTGATTTAGCTTGAGTTACAATGAAGGATTTATCTCATATTTATAGTCTAACGCTACTGCGTATATGGTATGTAATTCGTGCACTACATTATCGGGCTGATTGGCTAGCGTGCGTCAATTGTGAGCGAGGAATCAGTCATCAATCACCCCTCTCCGAAATCCCACGACCAGCGGGATTGCACTTGCCTTATATTTCCTCATCCATCTTGACGGGCTGGGTTTGGCCCATTACTTCATTCAGTTCATTGGGTCCGAATCATTCTTTGTAGTTTGTATCATGCCCTCATCTATGTTGGGCTCGTGTTTGGGCCTTATCGGCCCACTTTATGAACCCGATCTCCACCAATGCTAAAAAAGTAACTTCAGTCAAATATCGTAAACAGACGAATTAAAACAACCTATTCCATTAATTTCACATAGTATTTGGTTGTTTCATGTTTGTTTAGCCGTTGTAATTAGTCGCAGATCATTAAGAAGCATAGTTATCCGGCAGTCCTCTTAAGCAGTAGTATTCAGTCCATTCTTCCCGTTTTCGTCGGTCTGTTGGACGCTATTTCAACAAAGTTTTCAGCCCACTGAGTTTTAAGTTTCAAATACTAATACGCCTTATTTATTACAAGCCCAATTACAAATTTGTTTAACAATTAAACTCTCTAACAATCATTTTATTTGGAAAAAAATCATTACCATATATATTGCATATTTATACAACAACAACAACAACAACCCAGTTGAATCCCACTACAGTAGAGTCTGGGGAGGGTGTGTGTACGCAGAGCTTGCCCCTACTCGAAAGTAGGGAGGCTGTTTCCAAGAGACCCCCGGCTCAACCTGCACAAAAATATGGAAGGGAACACAGTATAACACGGGTAAAGAGTCAGGTACAAGCAACAAGTACAAGCAGTAGCAAAGGAATATTACATATTTATAGTAAAAGAAAATTGAAATGCCATTTTTTTTAAAAAAAAGGACTACTTTCATCTCGCGCGCACATTCTATGAACTTTATTATATGAACACCAAAGAAATATTGGGCCTCTTACAAAAAGGAATATATCTACGCATAGTCTATGAAAATTGTAAGAAAATTCACTTTTTACGTGTAGACTTTACGCTCTGAAAAAACACAACTCTTCACTGTGCTAATCTACTTATAAAACGCCGCTTGCAATCTAGCCTATTAAAACTTTAAAAAAAATTGGAACAAATTTAATGTAGTGAAACAAATTTTACCTTGCATATTGTTTTACTAATGTAGTGAGAAATTTGACCATAGTATAGCACATGTAAATAGCGAGAAAAAATAAAGAAGATAAATGAGATGTAAACATGTAATTGTGTGACATGCCAATGTTTGTATTTACATTTCATGGGCTTAGATCTTCTTTACAGTCCAATAAAGCAGACACTTTATCTGCTCCACAGCCCATGCAACTCGCAAATTTTAAAAGTTCAACAACTGTAAAGGCCCAAAAGTGAAAAAGAAGACAAATTGGTTGGTATTTGGTAAATGGTACTTCCTCCCTCCCAAAAGTTATTTCTCAATCACTATTTACAGAATCAGATATTAATTATAATTTTTTATTTTCTGAAATATATTTTCTGAAATTTATTTACAGAATTACTATTTCTAAATCACATCACTTTTTATTTTATGAAATTTTAGATGTAATTTTAATTATTTTTTCATTTCATAAATATAATCAAATAAATTAAAATTTAAAAAACTTCGTAAAAAAAATTTAGAAAGGGAGACCAGCATTTAACATATGTATTTTTTTCACAAACTTTAGGCTCCTCTCACTACACACTCAAACCTAAGTGGAAGTCCAAAAAAGAAGCTAAAGGTTTATCTCCTGAAAAAGAGTGAGAACGTACACCAAGATTGCGTTCTGTTTGCCTGATCTGATCTAATTCGATCTGATCTTTTGAAGAACTGATCAAACCTTTTGAAGATTTGATCTGGATAGATTTGATCTGGTCTGATCTGATTTGGCGTAATCTAATCTGATCTGAATATAATAAGAATAAGTAATAAGCAGAAAAAACAGGTTGAACGGAGCGGTGCCTAATTTGCTCTTTTATCATCTCATTTTTTATTTGAGTTTCACGAAGTCTAAAATGTGTTAAAAATTGATAAGCTTTCGGTTGAAATGAATATGTGTAGACGAGAAAAATGTTGTAAAAAAAATAATAAGCACACAAATCTTATGGAACATCTAAAAAATGTATGAAATGAGCAAGTAGGGAGTATATTTTTCACACTATTTTAATATTCATTTAAAATCTAATAATAAAATTCATATATTTCAAAAATTATATCCAAATCTCTAAAAAATAAACCTTTTTTATTTAATGACTAATATAAATACGTAAAAAATGTGAAAAATAATCAAAGGAATCCTTAAAACAGAGAGAAAGCATTCCATATAAAAATAATGTTAAAAATACACCAAAAGTGTGTTTGTTCACCACTCATCCCCATCATATAAGTCTTACTCGCTCTCACTCTTTTTATGTACGTCAAAAAGTATGTGGTAAAGAGATTGGTTGTGTACATATAAGGTACTCCGTAGGACTTTTGATGAATCCCTAACATTTTTGCTCCATATAATCCCTCCGTCCAAATAGTTTGAATTTATTTAAATGAAAGAAAAATCATTTGAATTGAAAATTTACATATACTCCTATCATCCCAAATTATTTGTCCTAATTTGAATTTTATGCTAACTTTCCTCAAAATTAACTATAATTATCAATAAATAAAAGTTTTAAAAATATGATACTCCTTCCGTCCCATATTGGATGCCACACCCCAAACAACGTGCAAAATCTCATCATTTTTAAAATAATTTTAATTACAAATTAGTATAGAAATAAAAACTATAAATTGCACCGTTTAAAAGTACATAAAAAACTCTAAAAAAAATAAGAACTTACAAGAATATTTTGTTTTACCAAATTATCAATGAAAATATACAAACAAATAAAATTACCGAAAAGCGGTAATAGTGACACTGAGATCCAATTTAGGACAGAGGTAGTATATCAATCAAAACTATATTTTAATACGAATAAAAGTATATAATAAATTTTTATTATAATTAAATGACTTTTTTGAAAATTTATAGTTAAAATTAGCTTAAAATCAAACCAAGACAAAATTTAGGACAAAAGAATTAGGTGTAAAGAGTTGTTTGGAGGTTAAAAAAGAGAAAAAAAATCAAAACTGAAAAGCCTTGTACGACATTACAGATTGATTATTGATTCCACCCCAACACATTTTGTTCTTTTCATTCTCGTCACCACGCAATAATCATCACATTATTAATTGCAGCACCATAAAAAAGGCTGCTTTCCATCCCATAATTGCCCCTCACTTCTTGCATTTCCCTTCACGAAACTCTCACCTTAGCCATTTCTAAATAAACCATAAGAAACTCGCCCTTCTTTTCCCCCCATCTCACAACTCCCTCCCAAGCATGGCTTCCGCATTCGACCAGAATGCGGAAACGCAGCGGGAAAGCATCACCGGAACTGCCCTGTCTGAGCTGAAAGTGCAGAGGCCGATACTGCTCCCGCTGCTCGCCATGAACTTGACGTGGTTCGCCAAGACCATCATCACCACCGCGTTCCTCGGCCGCCTCGGGGAGCTCTCGTTGAGCGGGTCCGCCCTCGGGTTCACCTTCGCCAACGTCACGGGGTTCTCTGTCTTGAACGGCCTCTCCTACGCCGTGGAGCCCATTTGTGGCCAGGCGTTCGGCGCCAAGAACTTCAAGCTCCTCCATAAGACGCTTTCCATGGCTTCCCTTCTCCTTCTCTCTGTCTCCGTCCCCATCGCGCTTCTCTGGCTCAACGTCGACAAGATCCTCCTCCGCTTCGGGCAACGAGAAGACGTGTCCGCCATGGCAGAGAACTATGTCACGTATCTCCTCCCCGACCTCGTCGTCACTTCCTTCCTCTGCCCTCTGAAGTTATATCTAACCGCGCAGAACATGACCCTACCTGTCATGTTCTGCACGGCTTTCGGTGTGGCCCTCCACGTCCCGTTATGCGTTTTCCTCTCCAATGCTATGGGAGTCAAGGGAATTTCCATGGCGTTTTGGATCACGGATTTCATCATCCTCGTCACGCTTTTGTTTTATGTCGCGGTGACAGAATGCCTGGATGGTAAGCTTTGGAAGGAGGGAGGGTGGTTTGATCATGGGAGGAGGGATGATTGGATTTCTCTACTTAAGCTTGCATTCCCATGTTGCTTGACAACTTGTCTTGAATGGTGGTGCTATGAGATCTTAGTGTTCCTCACCGGAAACCTCCCCGACGCAGAACGATCGCTAGCAGTTCTAGCGATCGTTCTTAACTTCGACTACTTGCTCTTCTCTGTCATGCAGTCATTGTCAACATGCGCGTCCATCCGTATCTCCAACGAGCTCGGAGCGGGCAATGCGGCTCGAGCGTTTGCCTCGAGCCGCATTTCCCTTGGGTTGGGCGTTCTGTCGGGTATCCTCGGTGGGGCAGCGATGGCCTTGGCAAGAGGCTTCTGGGGAGCTCTGTTTAGCCGCGAGAGCGGAGTTGTCCAAGGGGTGAAGAAGATGATGTTGATAGTGGCGGTGATGGAGGTGGTCAATTTCCCGGTGACGGTCTCCGGCGGAATAGTGCGGGGCACCGCCCGCCCTTGGCTAGGGACATATGCCAGCATATGTGGGTTTTATATGTTGGCATTGCCCTTAGGTGTTGTCTTGGCTTTCAAGATCCACCTTGGACTGGCGGGGTTGCTGACCGGGTTCGTGGCCGGGGTGGCGGTTTGCTTGGTGGTTCTGTTGGTGTTCATCGGCGGAATCAATTGGGATGAAGAGTCAAGAAAAGCACAAGCACTTGCCGGCGGCTCCGGCGATGATAATAATCAGTAGAGTTAATTAAGTGTCCACTCAACAGTATAGCTTTCAAGATTGTTGAATCCAAAAGGAAAATAATTGGTCTTAGGCCACAGAGCGAGCATATTACAAGGAATGAGATTTGTTCCCATATTTATTACTATCTCGAATTCACAAGATTTAAGAATAATATTGAAAATTTTAAAAAAGAGGTTTAAAGTTACAACAAAATAAATTGCAACAATTCTTACAACAATTTAATTGGAGAAATTTCGTTTTACAACAATAATCAATTTTACGAATTAATGAAAGTTTTTTTTTTATTTTTTTTAAAAAGGGGAAAGAGCTTGGATCATGGAGTATGGAGTATTTTTTAATGATTAGTGGACGTTGCATAGATGGCAAGGCAAGGGATTTACATAAAATAACACACAAGTTCAATTCCTAACAACTATACTAAACATAAGAGAGCCTATGTATGGACCAAGTGCCATCAAAATGCGGATAAAGCTTAATTTACTTCTTCTCACGTAACCGTTCAGCTTCATCCTTTCTAAAAAAAGAAGAGTGGATTTGGGCACCTCCTCTGCAAACGTACGCACTTACCCCTCCGTGGCGGTTTTGCCTTCCTCGCTACCTCCATTTTTAACCGCTTTTTCTTCTTCTGAAATTACAGCGGTGGTCATCGATCAGAGAGATTAGTAGACCCGACAAAAAATGGGGAAGAAGATGGAGTCGTTGATCGAGACGAGTACGAAAAGCTCGTTTTTTCACATGATATCACCTAAGGTGAACCCAAAAAATTAGGTTCTTATTCTATTTTTTCTAGATTGTTCCAAATTTTTTTTATAGGTGATCCGGAATATTATTATTGCCCCTCTAATCTAAATAAATACCACCCGATATTCTTATTCTTACGGAGTATTTTATTAAAGAGCGAACCAAATCATTTCAATAACAAATTAAATTCAACACATTGGGAGTAATGTTTATTAATAATACGGAGTATAAATCATTACTTCACTTTTTATCTAATTCATATCCTGTAATCTTCTTATAAGAGATTTGATGTGATCAAACATTTTAACCCAAAAATTCCCAAAAAATTGACTTCACAAAGTTTAAAAATAATGTTAAAAAGTCAAAAGTATTAAATAAAAAAGAGAGTGATTGAGAAATTTACTTCCTGCCTTAAAAAAAAAACTTCTTACACAAACTTACGCCATACAATTTTACTTTTATATAAACTTCCTGAAAAAAGCAAAGGAGAATTTTTTTTAGGGACGGAGGAATTATAACGCAAATGAGTTAAAGGGAGGGTATACCAGTCAATCTTTAGAAACTCCATCCAGAATACACACAGCAAATATGCATGCATTCGCGTTTGCTTTCGGATGTTACGTAGGTTTCTCGTAACTGTTTGAATCTCTGAAGTCCGAAACGGCACTGCGAATCATCCCCCCTACATCTGACCGGACAAAGAGATGCGTGTCGTCCAAGATGTGTAGTATGAACTTCTGCGATTGAGGCAATGACTTGTTCATGTTGATTATGAACTGTGCCATGGGGATGTCACTGCATATAGAAGATATATAATATAAATATCATTAAGGGTCCGTTTGGTATATGCGAAATTGGTGGAATTGGAATTGGGATTCCATGAGATTCAATTTCATAGAATTGAATTCACCAATTTCAATTCATTTTTTGGACTATCAATTCCAAATCCACATAATATTTGTATTGCCAAACATCAGAATTGGAATTGAAGTCCTCAATTCCAAATCCATAGTTTGAATTCCTTGTACCAAACGGGGCCTATATTATTAGGATTGGAAGGGATGGTGTTACAATAGAAACAGTCATTTAGAAATTAGAACACACAAATGTATACATGCACTCATAAAAAGGTGAGATTTTGGAAGCATTTGGCTTTGATTTTGAAAAGCTGATTCTGTTGATTTGCATTTGCTTTGGATTCTGAAAAGAATCACTTGCTATTCAGTAGTTGCTAGTTCAACTTACAGAATCTGATTTTTCAACTGTTATCAGCTGCTTGATTTCCCAGAATCAGCTTATTTTCGGTACAAAATCGGTCAGAAGAGATTTGAATCCAAATGAAGCCTTAGCCCAAAGCTCTTTTTCTCAAATGAGGGACCGGGGTGAAACCTCACGGCCAAAACTCAAAGAATGCAGAAAACCCCATTTTTATCCAACAACTTTTAGGTGTTTTTCCCTATGAACCGCGATTTGCACCTTTTCCACTTGTGGGTAGATTGCACAACTGATTTTTTGCAACTAGCTTTTACACAGTCACTTACGTGGCCAATAACAAGACCAAAAATTGAGCAGCTAAGTGTCAAAAGGACTGAACGTTGCAACAAATTCACAGTCGTGCAATAAAAGTAGGGAAAATACAAGTCAAAGAGCAAATGTGGGAATAAAGGAAAAGCGTTCTCACAGAAAATTAGATGCAAGACTCCATTCTCTGCAGTTGCTTGCATACCAAAAGGCTCAAGAAAATAAGTACACTTGTGAGGGGGCAAAAAGAAAATAGGAGGGTTCAAAACAAGCTCAAGAGAACTGGTTTATGTACCATGAATGGCTTAATAAATTCATTAATGGAAACAGAAATATCTGCAACCATGGGAAGCATAAGATACTGAGTACTTTTGAAATTTCCCAGGAAGAAAATAGTGTATCATGACAAGAAAACCCCTTTGCTCATAATAAAGCATCACTAGGTAGAGAAGTATTTTACCATGTAATGAACAACCCTTTGACGGCACTCACCATATTTTCGCACTTCGCTGCAATACAAACCAATATTAAGAAAATAAAAACAATGTCGTTAAAATTTATTTAAAAAGTGATGAAAGAACATGAACAATTTATTTTTTATTTAAAAAGAGGAAAAGAAGATTATTTAGGGAGAATCCGAAGATGTTTGAGTAAAAAATAATGAAAAAAAGAAAGGAAGTATAAAAGATTAGACTCATTAAAGTAAAAGGTAAGGGTGAGATCGAGGCGGGATGCGAGAGTTTTTTTTGGGCCGGAAAAAGGCCGGGAAGTGCTTGGGTTTTATAATTTTGGGACGAGGTGAAGGCCCAATATCTTTCAGGCCAATGCTAGTTTTGAATATACTCCCACCCTTTCAAAAAACACTTCCAATTTTTACTTTTGGCAAAAATGAGTGTATATTTTGTAGTTAACTTTCAAATTTTGCCATTGAATGAGATGGATAAAAGTAGGATATGATAGATAGTTAATAGTGAATAGATATGATGTGATATGTTGGGTAAGGATTAGTAGAGGTGAAATAGACATTGAGATGGAAAGTGGAAGTGTTTTATGGGAAGAGTAAAGAGTAAAAGGGGAATTCTTTTCTGAAATAGAGTAAGTACAAAGTTTGGACTGGCTTCAGATCGAAAAATTTGACGTTTATAGTATAATTTTTTTTGAAAGATTAGTAGTGCTTTCACTTCACATAAATATATTTACAAATAGAAATACACAATAACTTAACTCGTAGTTGTTAAATTCCTGATCAATTATTATAAATGCCTATGATTTTAATCGTAAACACTAAAATTTATTTTGGAACAAAAAAACATACAATAATGTTCAAACACAAGTATATTTTGAGTTTGGGCCCAGTCACTCATTGAGCTATGAGTCGGGTTATCCCGCTCCTGGTACAAGTATGAATACTCTTCATTTTTAAAAATAAGAAGAAAAAAAGCATTTTTAATCATAAAACTACTAAGTCATTTCCATCATTGCAAAACTGTCAGAGGTTGATCTTGAAATTTCAAGGCATGAGGTCCCAACTACTTCCAGGTTAACTTATTTGTATCCAAACTTTGTAACAAAATTTTATAAAAAGTAATGTATATGCTAGTCAAATGTTATGATAATCATTCAAGAATAAAATTACATATAAGTAATGCATCCTACAATTGTACTCTTCTGATTTTCATATTCTAAAAGTCATATAATATTATATAATCACTAAGGGTAGAAAATGCATCTCTCTCAACACGTGCCGCTGCTACTTACTCGGAGTATATCAAATATAACTTCAAGAGTGTACTCATAACTATATCTTCCAAAATCATAACTTATACTCCATTAAACTCTTTTGGCCACAAATCAGCTACTTTGAGTAATGATTTCTTGTCTAAAATTTCAAACGGGCCTCAAACGTTTTGCGTGTTGTTCAGATTGCTCAACAAAAGAAGACTCAATTCTTTGTTTTTTTATTCATTAAGTCTTCACCTCTTTTCACAAAATTGTAATGAGAGATATGGAGTCTGCCAATAAGAATCTCAAATCTTTCTTTTTTTGTTCAAACTTACAACTCATTCCCCATGAAATGATCACTGCCACAATTTCACTCGATTCGGTTCCCTTAAACTCAATTAAGAGAAACACAGATCTTATGTGAAATTCATTCTTTAAAAATCAAGATTACCCCACCATATATTCTTTTTGCACAAAACCATCATAACCCCTATTTTGTTTGAACTTTTTCAATGTCAGAGAACCAATAACAAGAACAAGAAATTGATCCATATTTCCTCACCAAACCCTAGCAGTACTCAAAGTAAATGATAAAAAAACAGGAAATTACAGAGCAAAATTGGTCTTCGAAACTTCAACATAGCAAATTGAATGCAAAATAAATCAAATATTCCAACTTTTATCACTAACCTCTTCGAATGTAATTTGAGGCAAATTAGGGTTTCCCAATTCAGAGTTGAGAAACGGATGGGCAGCGCGGCGGTCGGACGAGTGGTGGCGCGTCGATTGGATGTTGACCGGCGATGGAGCGTAGAAAACGAAAATACCTGAGACTGCGACTGGATTGGGTGTGGAAGAGGCGCAGGGGAAGTTTGTGGAAATCATGGGCTGTTTCTGATGATCAGTATACGCCTATTACGGAGTATTTAATTGAAGTGGGCTTGTTTCCTTAAGCTGAACTGAAGTTGGATAACCGGCCCATTATTATTTAAGTTGGGCTTGAGGTTATATCTTTTCAAATATAAACTTCAAATATATAATTTCACTTTTTTCGAAATATAGTGTTTTTTTCATTTGTAAAGATAATTTCTTTTTTAAACTTCTCGTTCACTATTTATAAGGTCAAACAATACCGTTTCTTGCTCATTTTTTTATTTATTAAAGTTTTTAATTGGTGTGCACATAAGCAAAATATTTCTTGTTTAATATTAGTGGAGTTTTTTATTTAGTTTTTAAATTTAGAAATTTTATTTATACATTTTAATTCAATATTCATACTCTGTCCCTCGTGAAAGAATGTTTCTTTTTCAATTGAAGGAATTGAGATTTTTGCGTTATCCTCTCTTACAACGTTTGTCCTTGAATATTTTTCTAGTTTGGCTTTTTTGGTTAACCTTTTTCAATTTTTGATTTGTAATTAAATAAAATATGTATTGTATATTAACTACAGAAAATAAAATTTTAAAAATATTTGATATAATAAATCTAATAAACTTGATTTTGTATCAAAATTTAATATCATTTTAATTTAATTTGAAATCAAAATTTATCAATTTTAACTAAAAAAGACAAAAATGTACAAATGATCAGGGATGAAAAAGTAAGTTTGATGGATCTTGTAATCCACTACCCATTTACACCACCCATTTTTATCCAATGGTACCATTGATTGAAGAAACAATCAATTAGAAGAGATGAAGACCAACACTCATTTTTTAGTTAAATTATTCTAGAAAAATTCAGTTCCTTCGAAAGATATTGTGTGATCCATATTATTTTCTCTTTCTTTACACAAATCAGAATTGTACGAGTTTTAGTTTATTAAAAATCGTGACAATATAATGTAAAAAAGATAATTATGAAATACACAAATAAAGCATCACTTAAGATGACCATGATGATTATGATGATAAAAATGTTGATAATTCAAAAGGCCTAAAGACCTACTAATACAGAGTAAGGGGCTGTTTGGCAACTTCTGAATAGATAAGTGCTGAACCAGTAAGAAGTCTGAATCATTAAGAGCTAGTATATTGCTTAACTATTCGGAGGCAAATGTCTGATCAATTCAGATAAGAGGTTTTAACCATTCTGACTTTGTATAATACTTAACCATTCAGAGGCAAATCTCTTAACCATTCAGACATCTGAACCATTAAGAGGTTGAAACAAACAGTCTGAACCATTAAGTGCAGAACTATTCAGACATCTGAACCATTAAGAGGCTGAAACAAACAGCCCCTAAATCTCAATGTATTTTTCCACCTTTAATCATTAACTTTGATTTTTCTCAGCTTTCGTTTTCAAATTAAAAGTACTTTAATTGCCGTCCTAATTACGCCACTTTGTGATTATTTTATAAAATTTAATCCCTAAGTCATTGAAGATTTTTGGCCTAAAGAATGAAATACAGGGGGCCACAAAAGAAAATTACCCAACAATCCTTGAGATTCAATCAGCAAGAAAAATACAAGAGGGCAAAGCGATAAATGTTGAGTTTGAAATGGATTCCTCATGGCAATTTTACAACATGAAAACAAGAATTTCCTATCACAACTATGGATTAAACTATTTGTACACCAAAAAAGTGCACGCCAAATTTACACCACTTTTTTTTGCACTTCAGACCCAAACCGTATGTGTGGCACATATGAATACTTGTCTGTGTACACGATAGAGACAAGTATGACGTGTGAAGTGTAAAAAAAACATGGTCGTGTACACTTGGGGAACACTTTTGGTGTACAGGAGCATGATCCTCAAGCGCGAACCGACAAAAACATCAGCCGATATTTGGTCTGCACCGAGACAATGAAACTAAACCAAGTCCTCATCGTCTTCCAAAGCGCTGTATATTACCCTATGCAAAGAACACAAGAAAGATATTGTAAGAGACCCACAAAAAATACTACATAGAAAATTGACTTAGAGGGTGTTTGGCAGTGCGGTACTTTTAAGAATTTAGCTTATGTGTTGAGTGGTAGTCTTTTACTCTGTTTGGCATGTCAACTTCGGTATTTTTTTTCCAACCGCCATTTTGCACATAGAACAACATTTTGAAGAAGTAGAAATATGGTGGTTCTATTTTCAGTGTTTGTAAAAATCACTTTTATCATCAAGTTAATCGTGCTCCCAAACACCCTCTTAATGTAGTTATCTTTAAGTGTGGTAGGCAATAAACGATAATAATATTTGGAAAGCAAGTAATTTGCGACTTGAACTACGTTGGATTTTTGAACTTTGGAGTGTTGGCTGACATATATCAATATGTGTGAAAAAATTCGGGGCCCTAAAAACCAAGAGCCCAAGGCACATGCCTAGTTTGTCTAGTCCTAGAGATGGCTATGAGTCGTATATATGTTGTGTCACTCACATGAATAAGGATATGAAGAGCATAATAATGAGATATCCAAGCTTCCAAAGCCTCCGCTTCTTCTCATAATTTAGTTGATTGAAAATCTCAGTTACATCTACCAAATGTTGTCTTCCGAGGTACCTATCATGACAAAGGGACATTGGAATCATGGAGCTTAATGATGAATAGAAGAACAGATAAGCATATACATTCATTAAGTAATGTACTTAATGCTAGTTAGGTAGACGAAAGTGGCTTACTTTGCTTATATATCAAACAAACAGTACACTAACTAAGAAATGGAATGAGTAGTTTTCGACTTACTTATTTGGTCGAAATGGATTCTACCAAACACGTTTCCTTTCAGAAAAAATCATTATGTTAAGCCAGATCGTAATCAGGTGTATGGATCCCAGCAATTCCATTATCTAATTCATTATTTCCTGATTTAAAAGTTCATCATTATGATTCTAAAGTCTAAACATATGGTTCATACAAGTACAACCTTAAATCAAACAACGACAACCCAGTTCAACTTTTGATTAAAGTCATTAAACTGAGGCATTGAATGAAAGCATGAGGACTATGATACTACTTTAAAGAAGAAAATGAGGTTTACATTATAGTTCGACGAAATAGTCTATCAACTCTTCCCTTAAAAATGGAGGAAGAAGCTCTTCTATTTCTTTATGCATCAAAGATATCATAAAGCTCAACCTTTGAAACTTGATGAAACAAGATGTGAAAGTATGAAAGTTTAACTTGATTTAAGTCATTTAACTTTATTCTAACAAGAGAAAAGCCATATGTCGTTCAAGACTGGTTGGCTCCAATGATCCACCATCTTGTTGCCTATGTTAAGTCATTGGTCGAATATAAAAATATAAAGTGACATATAAATGATTGGACTTCACATATCAAGTTAACATTCTAGGATGGAATGCCAACTATTAACAAGGTGCAGCAAAATAGAACTATATAAGATGATGACCATGGCATGATAATTATGACATTTAAGAGCATTAGCACTTGAAGATAATTGTAGTGCATTAAACTTACAACGTCACATTGTAGTATAAATATGGAGCACATAGAAGTGCAGCAAACCAGTGCCCCGTCACAAGATAGAGGAAAGATAAAACTCCATGTATGATGAACTCCGGGAGGATAACTTTATTTATCCTTGAGGCAGAGTCATATGGGTTGATATAGTCAAATTCTAGATCAGCCAGGCACATAAGCTGGGCAAAAAAAGAATGACGTTGTATTTAGTACAAGCACAGAGCATATAGCAAAAAGATACTCCCTCCATCCAATAAATTATTCAAAAAAGATAATATCTTTTAATTTCTTAAAACTCATGAAATCTCTTTTTATAATTTCTACATATTTCCGTTTACATGCATTCAAAATGTATATCGTCCATCGCCAAGGGTGCCAAACAACTATCAGCAAGGTTTTAGCTTTGGGTAAATAATAGACCAAACCAAAATGTCACATTAAACTTCCATTGTTTCTCTCTTTCTATGAAATTTTAGACAGTAAATGCACCAATGCATCAAGGGTCTAACAGAAACAGACTCTCTATTTTTACACTGGTAAGGTTGCATACATCTAAACTCGCAGACCCAATGGAGTTGGGATTACACTGGGTTCGTTGTTATTGTAGTTGGGTTTTCCAATTGTGGGTTTTCCGTATAGGGTCTTTCTATACTTGGGAATTCCATGTATGGGTTCTCTTAATGTGAAATAAACCATATCAAAATTTCACGTTAAACTTCATTTGATTCTTACATGGCATTCACATATATGGGCTCACCTAGCTCTCGATCACTAGACTCCATCAGAGTTAAGATTATACAGAATTTTGTTGTTGTTGTTGTAACATTAATGAAAAAGTTAACTTCTTTTGGTAATAGCTTCTCTTTAGTAAGCAAAGATTTAGACTTTAATTATGTTCCTGTTTGGTAAAACAGATCATTAGCAATGATGATTGGGGTTATTGATAATGGATAGGTCATAACCTGTCCCAACTACTGAATTATTACTATAATCACCTTAAATCACCTGAATGCGTTGTCCAGAGTGGATAATTTTACCGATGGTCTCAGTAATTAATCAACCAAGTTTAATTACCAATAATATGAACACATTAAATACACCCGTACAAGAAAGAAAGAAAGATATTTGCCGCAGTGAAATCAAACAAAAAAAAAGAAAAAAGAGGGGCGAGGGTAATTAGGGATTTAGTGGGATTTACCTGGAAAACGACCAAGACAACAAGAGAAACGAGAATGAAGAAGGAGAGCAGCCATGCCCACACATCTGCCATTCTGGCGGCGGCGGCGACGCCGGAGTAACAAGAAAACGATGATCGAGTCGCCGGAAAAGGGCTTTTTGATTTCGAGTTGCAGTTGATTTTGTTGGAAGCAATGGATGGATTCGGCAGGGAATCGGAAGAAAGTGGAGTGTGGACACCCCTCGCTGCCCTCTTCTTCGTAGTTCGTATAAAGATCAAATTTTATTTGTTTCCT